TTTCAGTTTTTGAATTTCCTTCTTAATTTCTTCATTCACCCACTAGTCATTCAAGAACACACTGTTGGATTTCCATGTATTTGTATAATTTCAAAAATTCCTCTTGTTATTAATTTCTAGTTTCATTTTATGGTGGTCAGAGAAGATACTTGATATTATTTCGTTTTTTTAAAATGTTTTAAGTCATACGGTCTATCCTTGAGAATGATCTGTGTGCTAAGGAGAAGAATGTGTACACTATAGCTGTTGGATGAAATGTTCTGTAAATGTCTATTAAGTTCATTTGGTCCATAGTGCAGATTAAATCTGATGTTTCTTTATTGATTTTCTGTCTAAATGATCTGTTCAGTGCTAAACGATAGGTATCGTGGTCTCCAGCTATTATTGTGTTAGGGTCTAAATATTTGCTTTGTAAATCAGGGTGCTCCAGTGTTGCATGCATAAATATTTGCAATTGTTATATCCTCTTGCTAAATTGACGCCTTTACTGTTAAATAATGACCTTCCTTGTCTCTTTTTATAGTTTTTGTCTTGAAAGCTATTTTGTCTGATATAAGTATAGGTACTCCTGATCTTTCTTGTTTTCCATTTGCCTGGACTATCTTTTCCCATCCCTTTATATTTAGTCTATGTGTATCTTTATACGTGTAGTGTGTTTCTTGTAGGCAACAGATTGTTGGGTCTTGTTTTTTATCCATTCACCAACTCTATGTCTTTCAATTGGAGAGTGTAGTCCATTTACACTCAATATTGTTATTGATAAGTAAGGACTTGAGCCTCCCATTTTATTATTTGTTTTCTGGTTGTTTTGTGGTCTTCTCTTCCTTCTTTCCTTCCTTACTGTCTTCTTTTTAGTGAAAACTATTTTCTCTGGTGGTATGTTTTAGTTTCTCACTTTTTATGTTTTTGTGTATCCATTGTATGTTTTTTGGTTTGAGATTACCATGATGCTTGCAAATACTATCTTATAACCCATTATTTTAAACAGATAACAACTTAACATTCACTGCATAAACAAACTAGCAAATAAGCAAAGAGAAAACTAATAAAAATCCTATACATTTTTCTGCTTGATCAATTCTGCTATTAAGAGAATGCATTCTTCAGTATGTTAGTTGCATTTTCCCACTACAGAATTTCTTTTTTTTTTGAGATGGAGTTTTGCTTTTTCACCCAGGCTGGAGTACAGTGGCATGATCTCGGCTCACGGCAACCTCTGCCTTTCAGTTTCAAGTGATTCTCCTGCCTCAGCCTCCCGAGTAGCTGGGATTAAAGGCACCTGCCACCATGCCCAGCCAATTTCTGTATTTTTAGTAGAGACGGGGTTTCACCATGTTGGCCAGGCTGGTCTTGTACTCCTGACTTGGTGATCTGCCCACCTCAGCCTCCCAAAGTACTGGGATTACAGGCATGTGTCACTGCACCCTTTTTTTTTTTTTTTTTTTTAAGATGGAATCTCACTTTGTCACCCAAGCTGGAGTGCAGTGGGGTGATCTCGGCTCACTGCAACCTCTGCCTCCTGGGTTCAAGTGATTCTCCTGCCTCAGCCTCCTGAGTAGCTGGGACTGTAGGCATGCACCACCACGCCTGGCTAATTTTTGTATTTTTAGTAGACACAGGGTTTCACCATGTTGGCCGGGCTGGTCTCAAACTCCTGACCTCAAGTGATCTGCCTGCCTCAGCCTCCCAAAGTGCTGGGATTACAGGTGTGAGCCACTGCACCCGGCCCCACTCCAGAATTTCTGCTTGATGCTTTTTAATTATTTCAATTTCCTTGTTAAATTTATCTGATAGGATTCTGAATTCCTTCTGTGTGTTATCTTGAATTTCTTTGAGTTTCCCTAAAACGGCTATTTTGAATTCTCTATATGAAAGGTCACATATCTCTGTCCTTACAGGCTTGGTCCCTGGTGCCTCATTTAGTTTACTGAAGTCATGTTTTCCTGGATTCTCTTGATGCTTGTGGATGTTCATTAGTGTCTGAGCATTGAAGAGTTAGGTATTCATTGTAGTCTTCAGAGTCTGTGCTTGTTTCCCCCCACCCCCTTTCTTGGAAAGGCTTTCCAGGTATTTTAAGGGACTTGGGTGTTGTGATCTAAGTGTTTGGTCACTGCAACCATATCTGCATTAGCCTAGTCACACTGTGGTTCTTGCAGACTCATAGAGGTACCACCTTGGTGGTTTTGGATAAGATCTGGAAGAATTCTCTGGATTACTGGGCAGAGACTCTTGTTCTCTTTCCTTACTGTTTCCCAAACAAATGGCCTTCCCCTGCCTCTCTGTTTTGAGCTGCCTGGAGCTGGGAGAGGGATAACACAAGAACACCTGTGGCTACCACCACTGGGACTGTGCTGGGTCAGACCTGAAACCAGTACAGAACTGGGTCTTGCCCAAGGCCTGGTGTAACCGCTACCTGGCTACCACCTATGTTTGCTTAAGGCCCTAGGGCTCTACAATCAACAGGTGGCAAAGCCAGCCAGGTTGTATCCTTCCTTTCATGGTAGTGAGTCCCCCTGGGCACTGGGTGGGTCCAGAGATGCCATCTGGGAACCAGGGCATGGAGTTGGAAATCTTAAAATCCACCTGGTGCTTTATTCTTCTGTGGCTAAGCTGGCAAAAAAAAACCACAAGACAAAGTTCTTCCCACACTTTCCTCCCCTTTTTATAGGCAGAGGAGTCTCTGTGGCCTCCACCACCCCAGCCGATAGTGAGTACGGCCTGGCTACCACTGATGTTCGCTGAAGCCCCAGGGTCTCTTCAGTCAGCTTGTGGTTGGTTGCTGCCAGGCCTGGGACATATCCTTCAGGGAAGTGAGCTCCTCTATGGCCCAGGTCAGGTCTAGAAATGCTGTCCAAAAGCTATGGCCTAGAATCAGGGACCACAAGAGCCCTCTTGGTGCTCCGCCCCACTGTGGGTGAGCTGGTACCTAAACTACCCCTTTTACTCTTCTCTCTGTTTTTCTGAATCTGGAGTCTCTCCTCATCACCACCATAGCTGGGAGTGTGCTGGGTCACACCTGAAGCCAGCACATCCCAGAGTCTCACTCAAAGTCCATGGCATGTACTACCTGTCTACTGCTGCTGATTATTCAGGGCCCATGCGCTTTTTAGTCTTCCCTTCAAGACAACAATGTCCTTTATGGCCCAGCATGTGTCTAGAAATGTCATCTGGGAGCTAGCTTCTCGCACGGGGGCCTCATGACTCTGCCTGGTGCACTATCCTGCTGTGGCTGAGCTGGTTTCCAAGTTGTAAGATGAAGTCTTCTACTCTTCCCTTTCCTCAAGTGGAAGGAGGTAGTCTTTTTCAGAACTGTGAGCTATGCTCCCTGGGCTTGGAGGAGGGGTGCTGCAAACCCTCCTTTGGCTGCTCTGGTTGATGTCCCCCATTAGGTCATGTGCCCCCAAAGTCCAGACTTTGATGCCTAGATCACCTTTCAAGTTTATTTAGGGTTCCAGAGCAGTTGAGCTTGCACTGGCAAAGCTTGCCAGAACTCAAGTTCCAACCACTGAGATGGATGAATTCACTCTGGCTAGGGCTGGTCTAAATGCTCCCTCTGTGGGCATTGGCTGAGTTCTGCCAAGTGTTGCTTTCCACTGTGACAGGGCAGCATAATCACTGTACTCTCCCTCCCTCAAGCCATACAGATTCACTGCTGCTGGGGAATAGGGGAAGGATGGTGTCAGCAATTCAAGACTGTTTTTCCTACCCTCTTCAGTGCCTCTTTCAGTGATTTTAAGTTAAAACAATGTACTGTAATTGCTCACCTGATTTTTGGTTTTTATGAAGGTGCTTTTTTGTGTAGATAGCTCTTAAATTTGGTGTTCCTGTGGGGAGGATGGTTGGTAGAGGCTTTTATTTGGCCATCTTACTTCTGATCTCTTGAAAGTGACTTCTTTAGCTAAATTAATCAAACATAAGAGATAAAATGTTTAGGGCAACTTATTCATATGTATTATATATTCTAGAGTTGATACCTATGTAGATACTGGGGATTTATTGAATGTATTAGGCCATTCCCCCATTGCTATAAAGAAACACCTGAGACTGGGTGATTTGTAAGGGAGAGAGTTTTAATTGGCTAATGGTTCTGCAGGTTCTACAGCTTCTGCAGGCTCTATAGCAATGCTTAGAGACTTCTAGGAAGGCCTCAGGAAGCTTACAATCATGGCAGAAGGTGAAGAGGGAGCAGGCATATCACATGGTGAAAGCAGGAGCAACAGAGAGGGTGAAGGGGTGGTACTACACAATTTTAAACAACCAGATCTTGCAACAGCTCACACTTGGTGCAAGGACAGCACCAAGAGGATGGTGCTATGCCATTTACGAGGGATCTGTCCCCATGATCCAAACATTTCCTGCCAGACCCCACCTCCAACACTGGGAATTACATTTCAACATGAGATTTGGGCAGGGACAAATATCCAAACTATATCGTTGAGCAACCAACCTGGTTTTAATATGAAATAAGTTGTTCTCAAACTTTTTAACATCAGGAGCCCCTTATACTCTAAAAATTATTGAGCAGCCTAGAGAGTTGTGGGTCTCTATCTATTAGAAATTAAAATAACTTTTAGGAATATTTGTTCATTTAAAACTAAAAACAAGCCTATCACATGTTAACATAAATAACATTTTTATTAAAAAAAAAATATATGTTTTTTGAGACGGAGTTGTGCTCTATCGCCCAGGCTGGAGTGCAGTAGTGTGATCTCGGCTCACTGCAAGCTCCGCCTCCCGCGTTCACGCCATTCTCCTGCCTCAGCCTCCCGAGTAGCTGGGACTACAGGCGCCCGCCACCACGCCCGGCTAATTTTTTTGTATTTTCAGTAGAAATGGGGTTTCACTGTGTTAGCCAGGATGGTCTGGATCTCCTGACCTCGTGATCCGCCTGCTTGGTCCTCCCAAAGTTCTGGGATTACAGGCGTGAGCCATCGCGCCTGGCCCCAAAAATATTTTCTTAAGAAAGTTAGTGAGAAAAGTGGCACTGTAATATTTTTGCAAACTCTCTTCAATATCTGGCTTAAGGAGGACAGTTGTGTTCTCTTACTGATAATGAATAAAGAGTGCTTCCCAGAATTGACAATTCAAGAAATCAGTGGTGATCTATGTCAAAATGATTTTGAGGATAGTAATTCGAGGACAAGGACCAAGTCTTTTGTATACCATTTTATCCTCAGAGTCTAATACAGTTCTTGGCACATAGTAACGGTCAGATATTTGGTAGGTGACTAAACTATACTGCAGTGTGTTGAGAAGTGAACAGAAGATACGGATTCAGGGAGCATAGAAACCTCCTTCATGGCACTTGGTTGAGAAAAGAAGAGAAATGAGGGGAATGAGGGTGCAGATTCAGCAGAGGACTTTTTAAAATAATGTTTTCATGTGAGGAAAAAATATAAAAACCAATAGAGAGAAATTAAGAAAACAGGAAAGAAATGGAATAATTAGGAACCTAGGCTGGGATAGGGTAGCAGGGCATTTCAAACATTAATGAGGATATGAGATTCCAGATCTTGTTGAAATGCAAATTCTGATTCAGCTGGTAGAGGTTGTGCATTTCTAACAAGCACCCAGATAATCTTAAGGCTGTTGGCCCCAGGGTTACACTTATAGTGATTTTCTAGAACCCAGTTGAGGAAGTGAATCTTGGGCAGGAGAAATACACACCTCTCACATTGAGTTTGGAGATCCAGCCCATCTGATATAACTTTTTAAGAGAGAAACATAATTTTCCAAATATCCAATTGATAACCTTACCCACTAAATGGCTGCATTATGAAAATTGCTTCACTTTCAATTATCCAGAGTCCACCAATCGATTACTTTGATGTATTTAAAGAATCAAAAGAGCAAAATTTCTATGAGTCACAGGAATCTGTCATTGCTTTATGTACTTACCTGCAACAATTGATAAAAACTATTGAAGACCTAGATGAAAATCAGCTGAAAGATGAGTTTTTTAAACTTCTGCAGATTTCACTGTGGGGAAATAAGTGTGATCTGTCTCTCTCAGGTGGAGAAAATAGTTCTCAGAAGACCGATGTATTAAATTCATTGGAAGACCTAAAACCTTTCATTTTATTGAATGATATGGAACATCTTTGGTCATTGCTTAGCAATTGCAAGAAAACAAGAGAAAAAGCTTCTGTTACTAGAGTGTATATTGTTCTCGATAATTCTGGGTTTGAGCTTGTTACAGATTTAATATTAGCCAACTTCTTGTTGTCCTCTGAACTGGCTACTGAGGTTCATTTTTATGGAAAAACAATTCCATGGTTTGTTTCTGATACTACTATACATGATTTTAATTGGTTAATTGAACAGGTAAAACATGGTAATCATAAGTGGATGTCCAAGTGTGGGGCTGACTGGGAAGAGTATGTTAAAATGGGTAAATGGGTTTACCACAATCATATATTTTGGACTCTGCCTCATGAGTTCTGTGCAATGCCTCAGGTTGCTCCCGACTTATATGCTGAACTACAGAAGGCACATTTAATTTTATTCAAGGGTGATTTGAATTACAGGAAGTTGACAGGTGACAGAAAATGGGAGTTTTCTGTTCCATTTCATCAGGCTCTGAATGGCTTCCATCCCGCACCCCTCTGTTCCATAAGAACATTAAAAGCTGAAATTCAGGTTGGTCTGAAGCCTGGGCAAGGGGAACAGCTCATGGCCTCTGAGCCCTGCTGGTGGACCAGTGGAAAGTATGGAATATTTCAGTACGATGGTCCCCTTTGACTTGATTTAGGAGCTCTCAGTTGCATAGAAAGATCTGACGAGCACCTTTTCATCCCCAGAAAAGGAGCGCGTGAATTGAGTCGCCCGGCGGCTGGCTCTGTACCCACTCTGGGAAGCTTGGCTTCTCCGTGCCCATCTACATGCACTGGATGATTTTTCTTTTTAACATTTTGCCCCACTACACTGTTTTGGGGATAGATGGGTTAAGCAGGTTACAGATAATTACATTTATATTGGAATTTTAGCAACTTTTTTTCAGGTTAAATACATCATTTCAAGTGCTTTTAATGTGTTTTTAATTGGCTAGGAAGCAAAAAATAAGCAAGTTCTGCTTTTAGTTAGTTAACCCTATTCTTTTCTTAAATAGTACACTGCATGGTATTTAATATTCCAGGAAGCATGGAATTTTATTTTGCTTGATTTTGGGCTCATGAAATAATAGCTCTGTGAAAATGCACATCTTAATGACTCTCTGTAAAGAGGCATTCCTTACAACTGTGATGTTTCCTCACATAAAAGTTACCTCATAAGTTAATTCTAACTTTTATTCTCCTTGAATTTTATTTCATTTCAATAGCTTGTTTCATTTGCACACCTTTGTATTTTGATTGATCTGTAGAATAGATGTTAGGAAACCCAGAATTGAACACAGTGAAATAAATGGTATTTTAAGAAATATAATATCTTTTATATTCTATTTATGATATCCGTAATCAAATGAGATTATTTTACCACATGAGTGTTTTAAATAAATAGATTTTTAGTTTGCAGTTTTAGGAAAATGCTTTAGATAGAAAAGGTTCTTACACATTGAATTTGGAGTACTACCAACAATGAGTGAATTTATTTTTTATATTCTTACACATTTTATTGGTCATTGTCACAGATACTAAATACTAAACATTTCAGGTCATTTTGTTTTGAAACTGAAATTGGAAATAAATCTGGAAATGTTTTGTTGCACTAAAATAATAAAATGAGTTGTACTAAAAAAAAAAAAAAGAAAATTGCTTCACTTTGAAACTTCTGGTCTTGGTAATATAGAATGTCAGTGTTCTCACAGTGCTTGATTGAGAACATGATACTGAGATTATGGCATACAATATAGGGGCTGTACAAAAAAAAGACATTATTAGGATCTCTAACAATTATGTAAAAGTCATTGCTTCGTGGGTAGAGCTCAGACTTTGGTGTGAGACCTGGTTTTATTCTTGGCACTTACTCTGAGTGGTCTTGGGCAAATTAATACCTTAAGCAAAAAGATTCTCATGTAGATTTTATATGAGAATTATAAATGAAGTACATAAAGTCCAGCAGTCACAAATGGTATCTATTATTACCATCATCCTGAGATTGCAATAAGCTATATTGAAAGTAGTCTCAAAGATTGTTTCATGAATCATCAGATTCACCTAATTTTCAAAAGAATTTAAATAAGGAGATGGAATGAATAGATTGCATTTTGTTTCCATGCACAGGGGAACCGTGCATATTTCTTCTGTGACTCGGAAATGGTTTAACTTTAAAAAATCCCAAAATAGCTGAAGTTAGCAGACATGCAATTTACCAAGGATGATTGGAATTTTGATCTTTCCTGTAATAATACTATACCCAAGCACACTGCTCATTAGGAAAACATTTTTATCTGAATCTTTTACTCTTGGGGGCAAAGAATGCTATTTTTCTTTTTGATAACTATGTTTATAGAATCTAAATCATCCTCAGCAATTATTTCAACATCTGAAGTTATTATTATCATTCATGTTTCATTTATAGCTATTTGAATTTTGATGAATTTCAATATGGTGCTAGAGTGATAGGACAAGTTCAAATAAGTTCAATATATGGGTATGGTCTTAAGTTATTTTAATTTTTTATTACAACTGCTATGAAGAAAAATAGGATATGCCACATTTTCACGTTTTACAGTTGGATGTCCTATGATATTCCCTTCCAGAGAACAGAGCTCGGAGCTCTGGAAATTTGGGGGCAACTGATATGTGGTCACGTCTGCATCTGTGTGGGTTGGCTGTATCTCAGGGACAGAATCTGCAGCAAAAAAGGTAATAATAGTTCCTTGAATACTTTTATATTATTACTTTGAAAGAACTAAGGCAGAGCACCTCCATTGGGCTTTTCTTCAGGAACACATGTAGGTGGAAAAGAGGTCAGTAGGAAGGCAAGAAGTAAATACTGCAACTGAGATAAAATTAAGTCAGCTTTGTAGACTATCCCCAGGCATTTTCTTGTTTTTTCTCTTTTTTCTTTTAAAACTTTTGTGGGTACTTTGTAGGTGCAAATATGTATGGGGTACATGAGATATTGTGAGACAGGCATGGAATGCATAGTAGTCACATCATGGAAAATGGGGTATTCATCCCCCTCCCAGGCATTTTCAGCTTGAATTTTTGTTGTCAGTAACAACAAGACTGGAAATTTTTAACACTCTCTTATCAATGTTGTAATCATTGTTGATCTCTTGCACTGGTAGAATATGCCTTGGTAGTAGAAAATAACAGCATAAGACATGTTGTAGTTTCTAAGGTGCTTTCACATACAAGGTGGTAAGTACATGCAGAAACATCAACTGAGCTACTCAAAGCCACTGTAGGTTTGTGTGTCCAGTATTATTAAGTCCTGCTGGAATTTGCTTTGAAAAGTTTTTCTCATTATTTTTCTAAATCTTGTAATTTTCTGTAAGTACTACCTTCATAATTAAAATGTTTCTACTCTGATGATGCCTTTAACTACTTTAAGAACTATAAGTCTAGAGCTCCTTTCAAGGGATCAAACCAGAAATGGATACGTAGGGCAGGTGTCACACTGATTTACGACCACACTCCTAACCTGACATTAGATATATTCAGTAGATCTGGCAATAAGCATAGTACATACTAATGGGTCTTGATTTTCAATAATTTTGTTATGCATAGTAAAATTTTATGGTGTTTTACTGTGTTGGCTGAATATATCAGGATACCAACTGAAAGCAGATCTTAAAGTTAATAACTCCTGCTTTTTTGGTTTAGTATTCAATAAACTTCTCCTAGGCCACTAGGGCTTAATGAACAAAATACCTCTTTGGCAAATAATTTTGCAGGCACAAAATGTTACTATAAAATTATTTTGTTGAAGAAAGTAAAATGAAAGATTAATTTGACATTGCAGTTATTTAAAAAATGATATGAAATTCTTGCAAACCACTAGAAAAGCAAAAATAATTTTAAGTGTCTCTGAAATTTAAACTTAAAATATTGTTAGTTTTTTATTGGGCATATAATTGTGTTTGACTTTTTTGGGGTCCAGCATTTATTTATTTTGGCATCTCTACTAAATGGTATCATGCTTTGGAAACTCAGTAAAATATTTGTTGTTGCTCAATAAATATTTGTTGATTACTTTTCATTGTTTTTTCTGTAGTGGTTTTTTAACTTTCCTAGTCATGACTTTTTACACAGATATAATTTTGAGGACTGAACAAAATTCAGGAAGGACTATTCTCATTAAGGTAATATTTTTCTGTATTTTCTAAGGCAGAATCAGAAAGGCCAAAGCATTTTTTTTTTTTTTTTTGATACAGAGTCTTGCTCTGTTGCCCAGGGTGGAGTGCAGTGGTGTGATCTCGGTTCACTGCAACCTCTGCCTCTCGGGCTCAAGTGATTCTTGTGTCTCAGCCTCCCCAGTAGCTGGGATTACAGGTGTATGCAACCACACCAGGCAAATTTTTGTACTTTAATAGAGATGGGGTTTCTCCATATTGGTCAGGCTGGTTTGGAACTCATGACCTCAAGTGATCTGCCCGCTTCAGTCTCCCAAAGTGCTGGGATTACAGGCATGAGCCACTGAACAAGCATTTAAAAAAAATAATTAAATTGGGAATTTATTTTAGGTATCATCAAGTAAAATTTTTCTTGCAAAACAATGAAAACTTTGGCTGCTGAAATTTACCAATTTAGATTTGTTTTTAGAAATGTTATAGGGAGATAAAAATTACTGAAATCTGTGGTGTAACTAGGAATGCAATTTTGGAAGGTGACGTGATGGGTAATGCTGTTTTTCCCAGTCTGTTCTACTAGTGAGAGAATACAGTCAGTTTTTGATGCATAATAACTGGGTGTCTTTTGGGGTATTCCTAAATAGTCAACCTTTTGGAGTTACACCTCCTTTAATTTTCAAATAGAATGCTTTGAATGACCATCCCAGTCTTCCTCCAGTATCTTCATGGATTATCAAGAGTGTGCATATCTCCAGCCATCTCTGGTTCAATGGTTTGCTTCTGCTGAATTCTCAATTTCTGTTTCAGTCTCCTCGTCTATGACAGACAGTGATCCTTCCCAGGAAGCACTTTGCCTCTGGTTGGGCGTTGGCATTCCCTCCAGGTGCCATAAGGTAGAGCTATGTATCCACCTTTACTGAAGGTTTCCACACTTCAGGAGAAGATTAGAGTACAGCAATGCTCACCACTACTGTAAACCTATATTTTGAATATAACTATTTCCAAAATCTAAGGCAAAAACATTGGACCCTTTGCAGCTTTATCCAGCTCCCTAGCCTCTCTGCTGTATGTCAAGGTCTGCCTGCTCTCATTTGTAGGAGACAGCACCTTTCATAAATGTTTCATAGGGCCAATTTCCCCCTTACTTTAAGAATATTTTACTCATTACCTAAAGGACATGTTTTCACTCTGGAACTTATTAGAACTTCATGTTCAGGGAAACCCCACCTGTATTAGTCTGTTTTCAAGCTGCTGATAAAGACATACCTGAGACTGGGTAATTTATAAAAGAAAGAGGTTTAATGGACTTACAGTGCCACGTGGCTGTAATCATGGTGGAAGGTGAAAGGTGTGTCTCACATGGCATCAGACAAGAGAAGAGAGCTTGTGCAGGGAACGTCCCATTTTTAAAACCATCATATCTTGTGAGACTTACTATCATGCGAACAGCACAAGAAAGACCCACTCCCATGATTCAGTTACCTCTCACTAGGTTCCTCTGATGACATATGGGAATTGTGGGAGTTACGATTCAAGATAGGATTTGCGTGGAGACACAGCCAAACCATATCAACACCCTTAGACACAAGGATCCACACAGGGTTACATATTCTAGAGTCTGAGTTGTAGTAGAAGTGATGGGAACAGTGGTGAATATTTATAGCACAACAATATAGGATGGTGGTCGGCATGAGAAATGCTGCCTGTGTTGAGGTTTCTCAGCCAGTAGGAAGTAATCATGGCCTTTTTTATTCTTCCTGATTTCTTTTGGTCTTCTCTGAGTACCTTTTGAATAAAACACATTCACACAAGATCTCCCAAGGTCAAACAGTTATTCTCAAGTATTGGACAGTCTAAACACATATTAAGGGACAGAGAGATTTCTCTAAGGCAAATATGTCTAGCAAAGAATTTCTCTTTTCCACAATAAATTGCCTTTTATATTTTTGCAGTATTATTTGCCTTTCTCCTGATATTCTTCTGATTATCTAGACCATGCCCAGAGACCTATCTCCGCAGAAGTCAAATAGAGACTATGACAGCACTTTTTAAAATAACAGAAGCTGATAGCCCTTTAACTATGTAAAGGTCCAGCAGAAGATGTGTGTGTGTGTGTGCGTGCATGTGTGTGGTTCTGATTCATATTAAAGTCTTAGGCAGCGCTTCCTCTGCAGTTGGTTTTCTCAGTAAGCAGAAATGAAGCTGTAGATAGATGTCTTCTCCCTCTGTCCAGAGAAAGCCCTAAGGTCACAGATTCGTTTTGTGTGGAATTTCAGTTACATGAGTTTGGAGTAGTTTGGCCTCACTGGTCTATTTCTGTCCACAAAGACCAGAGAGATTTATAGTATAGTGATGGACAGAACATTCCTCGTCCAAGAGCTTGGGAGAGACTGTGATGGTTTACCTTAGAGATCATCTGGTGTTGTTCATGATCCTTATGTGCATTCTAAACTGAACTTCATGTTCAGGGAAACTCCGTTACCTTGTTTCAT